ATATAGTGTAACATAATACGCGGTGCAAGCGACGTTGTAGTTTGGGAGAGAAATAACAAAGACGTAATCTTTAATTTTATATTCAGATTTTATTAAGAAATTTGTACATACTATTTACACGCAACATTGTTTAAATGTTATGAGACGTGTAGCATTTATTCCGATGATGAAAATGCAGTGCAAAGCGAGACGAGTATAGAAAGTTACAGAGTTGCAGAGTTGCAATTTTATATTATATGTAGAACGTAGTGCGAAGCGAGATGAATGTGACTAAGTTGCAGAGCTTTGTTTTTAGTACGACATAACACCGATGAAGTATATACTTTTACTTAATCTAGTTCTGTGTTGCAAGGACGCATTTGGATCAGACAAGGGGTGTAATAAAGATATTGTTTGTACAAACAAATTTGTTTATTATACAATAATATATACGATGGCATAAGTAGAAGCAATATACGAAACAGAATACACAGAAGAATATAAAATATATAAAATAATTCAATATAGTGTGCAGTGTAAACTTATAAACTTATTACAATTTAAAAACTTATTACAATTTATAAACTTATTACAATTTATAAACTATTAAAACTGAATACACTTAATTGACACATAACAAATACAAAATATTATTAGTATTAAAACCTAATTAAAAAATATTATTAGTATTAAATGTTACTATAAACACTATTCATTATAACATGTGCCATGGAAGTTTGATCGGCAAATTTACATTAAGTGATGTGTCAGTGGTTTTTCTTGTATACGCGATGTGCGCGTGTACTTCTATAACCTAGTGTACTTAAAAAGTAGAAAACAGAAAAAAAACCAATACAATATACTTAATTAACACATAAAAGAATACAAAATATTATTAGTATTAAAATTAATATAAAAACTATTCTATTTCTTAGACAAATGTGTATTTTAAACTATATTATACACTAATATTTGTATGAGAACAGTATAAACTAATAAACTATAAAAGTAGTAAACATATAACTAATATAAAAAACTACTCTACTTCTATTTCTATTGCTTCTGTGTCATCATCACCTATAACAAGAAAAAAGAACACTTATATTACTTGTCTAATACATGTATTTTTTCCTGTCATTTTTTACTTACTTGGAGGCGGTGTATTCGCATAAGCATGAAGATATCCAATGACTTGGTTTACCATACCTTCCATTTCCTCAAAGCGGATTGTTTGTGTCTGCAGCACTCCTGTCAAGTCTGTTGCCGTCAATCTGAAACAAAATGCAACATGTACAATGTACAATGTGTACACTTGCAGTATGTGAAATATATTATTGATACTTACAACTGCTGGGGAAGCTGAGCTCCATTTCTCCATTTCATTCTAACTTCCGGGTCGTATTTCTGCAATTGGTGCAGTTGGGTGTTGAGTTTTTGAATGCTCTTGACCAACTTATTTACCGTGTGATGTAGGTGAGATGCAGCTGGCTGAATGCGCTAAACTACTGTTTAAAATCGATGGACCAGCCTATAACTGCAAAGCATGTATACTGGAATTCATGGAGAATTGACATCTGTTGCAAGCAGAAGGTGAACTTTTTGTAAACGAGCGATGGTAGCAAAGAATGAAATATATTTGTGCGCTTTTTTGTACATAATATACTAAATAAAATATTAACTAAATGAGAAATTTATTCCTTCATGTCTTGTCCAAATACTGTGCTATGAGGTAAAGAGAATTGTGCTGATATGTGCAATGCGATGATGCACTAAAAACGTGTAAGTTGCAAAGATATAAAATTACAATATGCATAAAGTAAACATTCGTGTTTTGCTAATTAATCACAATTTCAATGGAGAAAGAGCTATCTTTTGTCCAATTCAACTGAAAGAAACGGTGGGGGCAGTAGTATTTAAGAGCTCAAAATTCGCGTTTAACCATCAGTTTATAGGGATAAAAAAGAGAATTGTATATTCATCAGAATGGCTTGTATTCCGGAGAACTGTCAAGAAGAATATAGATTCGAATCTGTTCGATTAGCCAGTTTTAAAGATTGGCCATGCTCGTGGATAACACCGGAAAAACTGGCAGCAGCTGGATTCTATTACACGGGCAAAGAAGATAAGGTGAAATGTTTCGAATGTAAACTTGAAATAAGCAAATGGGAAACGAATGACAATCCACTGGCCGATCATCAACGGTGGTCCAGACGATGTCGATTTGTTGAAAACTTATCCTACGGCAACGTAGCCATTAGTGTGGATTCTAGCACAATTCCAAAAAATATGGACAAAGCAGACGAGAAATCCACGTGTTTTATGTCGGGTGATACTCTATTGACCACAGTACGATTCGACA